AATGAACTAAAATGAACTGATTTGCCTCAATTCGTGTATTAGTTCATTCGTGCTTTTTCAAAGCATTGCATTGCTTTACATGGGGATGGTAGAAAAACCGAATGAACTAATGAACTAAAATGAACTGATTTGCCTCAATTCGTGTTTTAGTTCATTCGGATGCCTTGTATGAATCAAAGAGGAGGGGTATGGGAGTGAGCTGATTTTCATTTAACTAATCAGCTCACTCCTGTGACATGATGCTATAGGGGCTTATCCAATGGTGAGTGCTTTATCGGGGATTTAAAAAATAACTAAACAGCAGTATAAAAGCAGGCAGTGGAACTTTCTCCCCCCTTCTTTGACTGAGTTTTGTTGGTGACACACTGTGCTTTTGTGCTGTGTTAGCCTCATTGCTTGTCTTAGAGATCTTCTGTGAGTTTTGGTGTGTCTGCCAGTTCTCACTTGTTCAATTTGAGAGACTATTCCTGAGAATTATTTTTTTAATTTTAGTGCTTTTTGAAAGCTGTGCACTGCTGTGCTGCTGACTGAGTCAGTGTGCCACAAGGTGCCTGGCTGGCACTGCCAGTGCTTGCCTTCCCTGCTTGCTTACTGACTACAGCAACCAGGTATTACTTTTTTTTTTTTTTTTAAATCTTTTTATTTAAAAATTTTTTATTTAGCTTAAAATTAATTAAGATTTAAAGTAAAGATAGAATCAGTCTTTAGCTTAGTGGGCCTGAGGGCTTCTGCCCTAGGGGTAGACTAGCTTGTTAGCTTGCTAGCCTAGAAGAAAAGAAATCTTAATCTAGTTTAGCTGTTGAGTCTTTTAGCAGCAAAGTTGATTAGTTAATTTTTGTTAACTTGATTTTACAGTGGTGCTGCTGTTTCTGCAGTGCTGCTAGAGAAAGTTCATCTTCTGTCAGTCTCAGTTTAGTGTGTTTGCTTGGGTTTTAAATTCTTTTTTTAAGTGAATCTATATCTATACTCCAGTCCACATAGAGTTAGTTTAATCTAATGTTTGCTGGCTTTGCAGGCAGTCAGTGTAAAAGTGAAGAAATATTTTTTATTCAGTAACTTAATAGTATTATCTTCAGTTTTAATTTAAAAAAAAAATTAAGTTGATAAAATTATCTTCAGTTTAAAATATATTTGTTGTAGTACAGTCTCTTTGTCCTTAGTTAGGACAGAACACATTAGTCAGTCAAACAGTCTATTTTTTGTTTTAAATTTTTTAACACTTTTAGTGTCATTTTTTTGTGCTCACATCAGCATCAGCAGTGAAGTTAACTGTTCTGACTGCTGTTGTGAAGAAATTTCTTTTTTCATTAACTGATTCTTATTAGTTCGGTTAGTGTGTTTGTTTAACAGCAATCAGTGAAGCTAACTGGTTGCTGTTTTTATTTGGTTTATTTTAGTTCCTGATAGATTGACTGTGAGACTGTCCTAACCTAAGCTTCAAGGTAGCTGTAGGAAATCTTTTATTATTTTATTTTTCTATATTAGTATATTTTTTTCATACTCTGCTTGCACTGCAGTAGTTGAGCAGGCAGCACTTGTTGGCAGATTGCTCACGCCAGACAGTGCAGTTTTCCATAGTTCCTCAAAAAGCACTAGAGTGAAGAAATCTGCCTCAGTAGTAGTCTCTATTTTTTTTTAACTGTGTTCCAAATATCAAATAATCCTTTTTAATAAAAATATAAACGTTAGTTTGAAAACACTACATACATTACATTATCTCTTTCTTTTCTTTTCTTCAACTTCTTTTCTTTTCTTACTATTTTAAAATTCTAAATGGATCCTCCTAAACCTTCATCCACTAGTAAAGTGAGGGAGGGTCAGTCAGCAACCATCACCACCACCAATACCACCACCACCACAAGTAGTGGTAGTTTGAGTAAGCAGCCTATGCGTCAGCCTAAGCGGTCCAGGAGTGCCGTTATGTCAGACTCACCGCCTAGGAGGCCAAAGTCTTTGTCTCGCATTTCAGGCCCGTTGGTGCAAGATCCTGGTCAAGGAAAGGCACCAATAGCAGGCAGTAGTGCAGCAAGGCCCAGAATTGCAAGTCTTTTCTATGGCAAAGGGAAACCAGCAGGGCTTTTAAGGGTGAGCACTATGGCTAGTACTATTACTAAAAACACAACTAGTAGTAGGAGTAGCCCAATAAGTAAGAGGAAGCGTGTTTTGCCCCCAGCATCTTCCTATACCACAAGCAGGCCTGTGAGTCGTGCTGCTAAGAAGCTTCCTTCTTGTACAAGGAGGCTGTTTCCTAATCCCCCTCCCAAGACCACCACTTCCACCACCACCAGTGCTGCGCATGCTTCTACCACTGACAGCGGCACATCAGCACAGGAGTTGTTGCCATTGCCAATGCTACCCAGTGCTCCTAGTCCTATTATTCCTGGAGGTGATATCAGTCTTACCCCCAGCCTTGCAGGGATTGCATTTAGTCTGGCTGATGAAGAGCTTGACTATGAGCCTGAGAGTGAGGAGGAGATAGTAGAGGAAAGTCAGCATTCTTCAGGGAGCAGTCCAACCTTTTCTCCTGCTACAAGTGCACATTTTTTCCCTTCCTCTCCACTTTCTCCAATAGTAGCACCTGCTAGTGCTACTTCAACCATTAGCAGACCACCACCACCACCACCACAACCTCCTCGCAGTGGCACAGTTACCACCACCAGAGTAACTGTGCCAACAATCATCACCACCACTGGTACTACTAGCCACAGTACCAGTGCCGAGGCTACTGTGCCAGCCACCAGTAGTCACACTCCTCCTGCTGCTCATCAACCTGCACCACTAGCAGCAGAATCCCGAAGGGCAAGCGCCAATGTTTTGCGCCGCAGCAAAGTTTGGGATCACTTTGAAAGTGTTGGAGATGGGCGCTTTGCAAAGTGCAAACTTTGTGGGAAGGAAGTTAGCAGGGGGAGAGTGTTGGGTCATCTCACCAGTGCAGGGATGAACCATCACCTTCGCAGTCATCACAAGGCTGTGTTATTGAGGGAAGAGGCAGAAAGTACTAGGACAGGCAGCATAGCTACTATTACAGTGTCCAGTACCATGGCAGCTAGAAGTGACAGGGGAGTTGTTGCAGAGCCAAGAGCTACTGGTGCTGCCAGCCAACAACCAAGACTGGTTGGAGCATCACAATGTATCCAGCCCACCCTGGAACAATTTGGGGGATTCCACTCCAGGGCTATGTCTAAACAGCAGGCCAATAAAATTACGCGACTTATTGGCCAGTTAATTGCTGTTGGAGGTGCTTCCTTTTCTATGATAGAAGGGGAGCCTTTCAAACAGTTGATGGAGACTGTGGCTCCACAATACCATCTTCCCTCACGCTCCACTTTCAGCAGGAGGATAATCCCTTCACTTTACCGGTCCTGTGTTGGAGTAGTGAAAGGGGAGCTTTCGAAGGCTGCTGGTCAGTCTGTGCATTTTACCACAGATTTGTGGAGTGCACCAAGTGGCCAGCATGCCTTTCTTTCCCTTACAGCACACTGGTGGGAGTCTGGTGTGTCTCAGGAAGCTGCTGCTGCAACTTCAGCAGCAGGGTCTAGCAGAAAGGGAGGAAGTGTATCTGTAGATCAGCTGGGCTATCGCTCTTTCCTTCTCCATGCTGAAGTGATGGATGAAAAACACACTTCAGATAACATTCTACAGGCAGTAAGGAGGATGGTGTCTCTTTGGGTTGGAGCAGAGGCAGGCACCAATGTAGAAGTGGGGTTTGTGGTTACTGATGGAGCTACAAATATGGTGAAAGCTTTGCGTGATGGTAACCTTGTTGGTGTGCGCTGTGCAGCGCACATTATCCATCTAGTAGTAAAGTCAGCAATCCCAGAAGGTAATAACAGAGTTTCCAGTGTGATTGAACGGTGCAGGAGGATTGCTGGGCACTTCCACCGCAGTGTGAAGGCTAGCCAACTGTTGAGGCAGGAACAAGAGAAGGCAGGTCTTCCCATACACTGTCTACGACAAGATGTCAGTACACGGTGGAACTCTACTCTGGAGATGCTGGAGAGGATTTTAGAGCAGCAGAGGGCAATCCATAGTCTGGCATCAGACCAATACATCGGTATTGGTTCTCCACTAGGTAGAGACGATTGGACAGTGATCGCTCAGCTAGTGGCAGTCCTGAAACCATTCAGGGATGCCACTGAAAATTTAAGCTTGAACACTGCCAATCTGGGACAGGTAATCCCTGTTTTCACCCATCTAGGGAGCAAGATGGGTGTCTTCCTTGAGCGCCAAGAGGTTGTTCAAGGTGATCCTTTACATCCTGATGTAACTCTGGTCCGGAGGCTGAAGGATCAGCTTAAAGTTCGCCTATGTGAGCGAATGGATAATTCTCCTGAACTGATGCTAGCTTGCCTGTGTGATCCAAGGATTAAGGATTAATAACTTAATAAATTGGAGGGAGAAATTGATCCAGAGGGTGTGTGACTGGCAGCAAAAGAGGGGAATGCTGTCTGAGGGAGTAGTTCAGCAGGAGGCTGAGATGTCGGCTACTTCTAGCAGAAGCAGTGGCACTACCACCACCACCACACAACTGAGTGGAGCAGCTGCATTTTGGGAAGAGTTGCTTGAGGATATAGTTGGACCCACTGAGAGTGCTGCCTCAGAAATGGTCAGAGCGTACCTCTCTGAACCTCCTTTGCCCCATAATGTCGACCCTCTTAGCTATTGGGATGAGAAGAAGAGTGTGTGGCCTGCACTCTCATTGGTTGCGCAGGAGCTGCTATCATGTCCGCCAACCACTGTCCCAAGTGAGCGTGTATTTTCGGTAACCGGTAATATACTGAATCCACAGCGCTCACAAATGTCACCTCATCTCATTGAGCAGATTGCCTTTCTTAAATTCAATCTGCCTAAATTGGGGTACCCTGCTCTACACTTTGACTGTAATTGAGCTTAGGGTTTCTCAACTTTCTTTCTAATTATATAAAGTTGGTGGCGACAAAATAGTTATTTTATTTCTCATTCCTCCTTATTCTTCCATTCTCTCCCCAATCCCCAAATACCTTAAAATCTCTCTTAAAGTGGTACTGGTTTCTTCCCTCTGGCTGTGTCTGACAGCGGTGTGGCAACGCCTGCTACCTCCGCCAGCGCAGTCAGTTAACGCTAGGGTATTGTGTTTGAGCTCTGGAGGTCCGCTCCCCACGCCAAGGACTGAAGGAGTTTGGATGCTTTGCCCTGGGGATGAAACAAGTGAGTGGTCGCCAATTGCCCACTCACTTCTCTTTACCATTTTATTTCTTTCTATTTTGCTGTTGGTGGTTGCAAAACATCTTTTTTTCTCATTCCTCCTTATTCTTCCATTCTCTCCCCAATCCCCAAATCCTTAAAATCTGTCTTAAAGTGGTACTGGTTTCTCCCCTCTGGCTGTGTCTGACAGCAGTGTGGCAACGCCTGCTACCTCCGCCAGCGCAGTCAGTTAACGCTAGGGTATTGTGTTTGAGCTCTGGAGGTCCGCATCCCACGCCAAGGACTGAAGGAGTTTGGATGCTTTGCCCTGGGGATGAAACAAGTGAGTGGGTCGCCAATTGCCCACTCACTCCTCTTTACCATTTTATTTCTTTCTATTTTGCTGTTGGTGATAGCAAAACATCTTTTTTTCTCATTCCTCTTTATTCTTCTATTCTCCTCCCCCCCAAATACCTTAAAATCTCTCTTAAAGTGGTACTGGTTTCTCCCCTCTGGCTGTGTCTGACAGCGGTGTGGCAACGCCTGCTACCTCCGCCAGCACAGTCAGTTAACGCTAGGGTATTGTGTTTGAACTCTGGAGGTCCGCTTCCCACGCCAAGGACTGAAGGAGTTTGGATGCTTTGCCCTGGGGATGAAACAAGTGAGTGGGTCGCCAATTGCCCACTCACTCCTCTTTACCATTTTATTTCTTTCTATTTTGCTGTTGGTGATAGCAAAACATCTTTTTTTTTCTCTTTCCTCTTTA